ACCAGTTCAATCGACTGCCGTTTGGATATTCCCTGGCTCCTCGCACTTTTTCAAAGTGTGTGGAGACGGCGCTGGAGCCGCTACACAGAGGAGGGATAAGGGTGTTATTTTATCTGGACGACCTGCTGTTGCTGGCTCGCTCCAAGGAGGAGGCTGCTTTACAGACGATACAGCTCGTATCTCATCTGTCAAGTCTGGGTTTCATTGTCAATTGGAAGAAGAGCTGTCCTCTTCCATCCCAGGTTATCGTTTATCTGGGAGTGGAATTGAACTCAGCCCGCATGAGAGCGCGACTCTCACAGCGAGAGTGGAGAAAGTGACAGCTCTCCTCCGGCGCGTCACACCTCGCAGGGTGGTGACAGCCCTCTCCGTGATGCAGCTGTTAGGTATGATGGCAGCTGGTCACGCGGTGATCCCTCTGGGACTCCTTCACATGAGGAGACTCCAGAGGTGGTTTATTCGCCTGCGTATCGACCCCGTGCGTCAGAGGAGACGCATGGTGTACGTTCCCCCTCCCGTGGGTCCGGATTTAGCCTATTGGAAAAATCTCCACGTCCTGTCAGTGGGGGTTCCCCTGGGCAGAGTGACGTCACACACCGCGGTGTTTACAGACGCATCTCTCGCAGGCTGGGGAGGAATGTGCATGTCCCAGGCAGTGGGGGGACAGTGGCTGGCTCACATGTCTCTCCACATAAACGTGCTGGAGTTAATCTCCGTAGGGAGAGTAATCCAACACTTCGCCCCGTTGCTGTTCAATCAGCATGTGTTGATTCGGACAGACAACAAAGCAGCGGCGGCATACATAAATCGCCAGGGAGGCGTACGATCAGCGCAGCTGCTGAACACAGCCAGACGGCTGCTGTGTTGGGGCGAAAACACACGTACTCTCTATCAGTGCGGTGTATATTCCCGGCGTGTTGAACAGAGGGGCGGACCTAATGTCCAGAGGAGGTCCTTACCAAGGGGACTGGAGCCTCCACCCCGAACTGGTCTCCCAGGTATGGAGCAGGTTCAGGGATCTGTTCGCTGCACGCGAGAACGCGCAGTGTGCCCTCTGGTTCTCCCTGAGAACGCAGGACCACCCCCCCCCCCCTGGGCGTGGACGCGTTCGCACACAGGCCGTGGCCCAAGGGGGTGTTATACGCTTTCCCACCAGTCCCTCTGATCCCTCGGTTCCTGGACCGAGTGCAGCAGGAGAGACTGACAGCAATCTTAATAGCACCGGAACGCACGGGAGCGTCCTGTTTTCCATGCCTACAGCGGATGCTGTCAGGGAGACCGTGGGAAATGCCGTGGCGCAGGGACGCTCTCTCCCAGGTGGAGGGAGCGATCAGCAGTCACCCAGTATTGGGCCAACGTTTGTGGGCATGGCCCCTGAACGGGAACATTTATAGGGGCGGGGCCTCTCTAAAAATGTTATCAGTACCATTCAGGGTTCAAGGGCGGCATCCACCAGGGCATCCTACACAGCCAAATGGACAGCGTTCCAGCGCTGATGTGTAGGGAAAAGCCTGGACCCCGTTAGGTGCCCCCTGCCTCACGTACTGTCGTTCCTCCAGACATTACTGGACAGGAATTTGGCTTATAGCACGGTAAAAACGTACGCTGCTGCCATTTCATCTTGCCACGTAGGGTTTGGTGTCAGCACGGTGTTTACACGGTTTCTACGGGGAGTACAGAGACTCAGACCGGTGTCACGCGCTTTGGCGCCTCAATGGGATTTGGCGTTGGTGTTATGCGCACTGAGTAAAGCTCCATTCGAACTTTTAGATCAGGTCCCCCTAAAGTTCTTGTCAGCCAAAGTAGCTCTGCTCTTGGCTCTGACATCAGCTAAAAGGGTGAGTGATTTGTCTGCTCTCTCTGTGGCTCCGTCATGTCTCCGGATCCAAGGAGATGGCAGCTCAGCTGTTTTGCGCCCAAACCCAGCTTTTATGCCAAAGGTGATCACAAGCTCGTTTAGATTGAGAGTGATCACTTTTGATGGTTTCTTCCCTCCTCCTCACACACCAGAGAAAGAAGCCACATCTCATCTCCTCTGTCCCGTACGTGCGCTGTCATGCTATATTGCACGCACAGCCACGTTGCGCAGGTCCCAGCGCCTGTTTGTGCATTACAGAGAGCACTCAATAGGGCAGCCTCTGTCTGCACAGCGGCTGTCACACTGGTTGTGTGAGGCTGTGTCACAGGCGTATGTCTACTCTGGGGTGGATCCCCCAGAAAACATCAAAGCGCACAGCACCAGAGGAATTTCAACCTCTATGGCGTTGCACGGAGGAATGACAGTGGAAGACATTTTCAATGCTGCATCTTGGTCTTCCCCCTGTTCTTTTATTCGTTTTTATTTGAGGGATGTCTCCCATTCCTCTCTTACACATTCAGTACTGAGTGTTCTGTCAGATTGAGTAATGTCAGGGACTAAACGGCGTGCCCTCTCTCCTGCCTATCGGCATTCAGAGAGCTGCCCCTTTCCCCCCTCTTTTATCATTTTAACAAGTGGGATTTGTTTATCTCTACTTTTTTTAAACGACGGGTATTCACCTTCATTCCCTTAAAGAGAATATTCATTTGGAATAATGCTATATTTCCAGGGACTGTGATGCTCCTTTCTTTTTCGCATGGGTTATTAATTGAGTAGATGTGTTTTTGTGCTTCTGGTAACGGACGGACCAGTGGGGCGTGGACTACATCCTGCTTCGCCCTTAACCCAATAGCGATAGCCTTAGAGGGCGAAGCCTTATACGAAATATAACTGGGGTTACGTACTGTAATCCAGCTTCTATGAGTATAGGCGCAGCCCTCTAAGGTTCGGGCCCCACTGGCTCCGCGAATAGCTGAAGAAAAGCTGTTTGTGTGGGAGCAGTTGGACGGGCCTACTTCCTATTTATACGGAAGTGAGGCCGGAGGTGGGGCCCACGTCATAGGTGAGCGTGGATTAAGTCTGTCAGTGCTGCACATGTGCAGAGGGATTACTCAATAGCGATAGCCTTAGAGGGCTGCGCCTATACTCATAGAAGCTGGGTTACAGTACGTAACCCCAGTTGTTCAACAACTATGCGCTCTTGAAACACTTTCTTATTATTTATGATGTAATATTTTCAAGACATTCTTTTTAATTTTACAGCTTGATGAAACCTTTTTGTTTGACATCAGCCATTATAGATAATATGGCCATCTGAGTGTGTGGTACTGTTTGTGGTTTGTTTTTAACTGTTTAATACAGTTAATTATTCAAAATGTCAGAGTTCCTTATTTTTAAACTGAAACTTGCACTACTGTTCAAAAATAAATAACAACAAACCTGGAATTATGCATTTGGGACTTTTTTTTGCTTTTCCTTGTTGTACCGAACCCGTACCGAACCGTGACCCCCAAACCGAGGTACGAACCGAACCGTGACTTCTGTGAACCGTTACACCTCTACCCAATACATATAAAAGTATAAAACAACATTTACAAACAGTCCTTCAACTTGAAGCTGAACAGTAACAAATCTGTCAATGAACATAACAGAACACAGATGTAAAGCAGCAGGATGTAAACAGAGGAGAACAGTGAGTGTGTGTGTGTGTGTGTGTGTGTGTGTGTGTGTGTGTGTGTGTGTGTGTGTGTGTGTGTGTGTGTGTGTGTGTGTGTGTGTGTGTGTGTGTGTGTGTGTGTGTGTGTGTGTCTGTGTGTGTGTGTGTGTGTGTGTGTGTGTGTGTGTGTGTTAAAGGAAAGCTCCAGTCATTAGATAGTTAATAAAAACTTCTGTATTTATTGAAACATTATGTTTAAACCATACCCTGAAGAAATCAGCGATATTCCCCGGTAAATAATGATTTTATAGGTCATTTTTATCAAAACCTGTATATTCCGTCAGGCAGCTGCCATTTTGGCCATTTTCAGTAGTCACATGATCCGAAAAACTAGGTCGTGACGTCATCTATGCGTTCACTTTGTAAACACACAAACAGCTCATTCGACGAAAACATGGCGGAGTATTTGAGTTCGGACTCGTCAGCCGAGGAAGAAGTTTTGAGCAATGTGGAGAGATTGGATGGGGGAATTCAGCCAAACAGCCAAGTGGCCAGAATCGTCAGGAATCCAGGGACAGTGACGATGAGGATGAACAGCACGGTGATCTTGCTGGAGACGATCCCTTTACTCGTGCAATTGATTTCGGGGGGCGAGTAGGGAGACCTGTACATGAATGGTGTACTTGCGATCGGTGTGTAGCCATGGACAATCCTCTTATGAACATATGTTGTCATGAGCTTGAAGAGCTTGAAAATAAACTGTTCACAGACGACTTGGATTGCATATGTTTACACAGGGAATTCGACACTGTGGTGTTAGAAAAAGCTGTATTGAGAACAGCACTGGTTGCCATGAAGGATGTGAAACGCACCTCTTTGGTTGAACCAATAAATGAAAGGTGGGTACATTTCATGGGTACAGCCCTTTCTTCTTAGCATGATATACTTTACAATTATTATTATTATTATTATTATTAATGGACATATCAACTAAAGACATTTGATTTGGTTAGGAAGTTCTGGATTAAAGATTGAATTTACTTTATCAAAAGTTTTATAATGACGTTTACATTCTAGGAGGAAATGATTTTCATCCTCAATCTCATGGCAATGTTTGCACAACCTGTCATTTACAGGAATATTTGTGTATCGACCATATTCATTAAGAAGTTTATGGTTGTTAATTCTAAAGCGTGTCAAACTAGAGTAAACAACATGAACAAAGCACATATGTCAATTTGTCCTCGACACCAAACGCATAGTTCACGTCACTTCCGGTAAAATAAGTCATGTGACTCGTCAAAATGGCGCCGCCCACAGGGTTGATGTTATTTCGGTAATTAATCAGTTTAAAATCACTGATAACGTCATCGGATACAAATAAATAAAAAAAGACTGGCAGAGACTGGTCTGTTTTATCGGATGATAATTATTTAAAAATGCGTGTCATGAGGATTGCCTCCCTTTAAAGTGCAACTTTGTTGGTAGGATTAAACTGCCAAAAGCTTTTTCAGGCTCAACACCCTGGGCTTCAAGGGCTTCAAGTTCCCCTCATCCAGGCCCATCAACACTTTCTGGGTGAAGTCGAAAGTGTTGGCCAAGTCTTTTGGGTAGCTCAGATGCAGGGCAAAGGTCAGTGCAAAAAGCAGGATGAATGCGTCAGCCAGTGTGGGGAGTTCCATAACTCCGTTACCCTCAATGACAACAGCGATCCTCTCTGGGCAGAAGAGCGTGGTATCTGTTGACCTGGCACTGATCATGAGAAGTCCGACCGCGATGCCCTCTGTGTCTGGATCATCAGACTGCTCCACCTGATGACAAGAACAGATAAACGTTACCCAAATTGCCTATCTCAGAAATGTGTTTTCTGAAAAATACATCAGTGACATATCACATAAAATAACCGTATGTTTTGTGCCTAATGTGGGTTTAAGGAAACGCCTATTAGCATTGCACAACATAATGTTACAGCACCAGAAACGTCAGCCTCCAAAATAACCAATCAGTTGACATAAATGCGTTCAACAAAAAAACAGGTATAACCCTCATAAGGGTAGGATTTATTTTATCACTGTATTAGACTGTTACTATTAGCTAGTTGTACCCAGAGCCATATAATAGAAGAGTTACGACAACGGAAGTCCAAAAACGGTTATCGTCACGTGGTTCATGTAGACGAGGATCGTTCCCCGGAAGTTCATGGCGGGCAATGTGAATGCATTGATAACAGGAGATAGAACTACGATTTTTGGTAATTATTAGTGAATAAAGGTTTTGATTTGCAATATTTATACAACAAATCGATATGTGTATGTATTTACATCAATACGTTTTAAAAAATAAAATAGAATTTGCTAATATTAAGTGATAATATTATGATTAGTGTGAACAACTAGTTTACATGTTAGACTAATAGTGCCTTGGTTAAAGAGCCTGTTGCTGTTTATTTATAGCTTTGAATTCTTTAAAACCAATAGTATCTTCTTAAACTTGTATGGTAGTCAGGAGCATCACTTTCTAATGTTTATTGATATATTTAGAGGGAGGGGATCTAAAGTAATGCTTTAAAATTCAGATTAGATTAATGTCTACCATTTTCTTAAATTCATGGTAGTTTCAGTAATCCCATGGTAATTTAGGACACAAGTTATCTAAATGACTAATGTCATCTTTATGGCTTTCAGAAAGGACAGGAGACCGACAGGTGACTATCAAAGGACTAGCAGCAGCAGCATGATGATGATGATGATGATGTTAAATGTGTTGTTTTAGGAACATCCATTGCAAATACATGGAATTCAATAAACATTGAATAGCATATCATGCAGTTTGTCTGTGCCTTTTCTTCCGTGTTGTCCTGGTTTGCTGTGCTGCCTCCTAGTCGCCACCATGGTTTGCTGTGCTGCCTGGGGATGCTCAAATCGCTCAGAGAAAGGAGTATGAATGTACGGCTTCCCCACTGACACAGAGCGGAGGAAAAAATGGCTGGCTCAAGTCAGCAGGAGCAATTTCACAACCAACAGCAAACAAATATGTGAGGTAATTATATACAAACACTGCATTTGCAATTTTTCACAAAACGAAAACCACACCATTGGGAAAGCTTAATGTTTTGTTTAATACAAAAAATCAGGGAAAGGCTTGAAAAACACAGAATTGAGACTCAGGGTGCAGGGTGAGGGTCTCAGTGCAGGTATTCAGGCTCCATTGAATCCCCCTCTGGTTCTTGTGCTGAAAGAGGGATAAACAGACAGGAGAAAGGGTTATACACACCTATATAGCACACCTATTGGATGGGAAATTGCCTTGGGGAGATAAGGTGTGGTCTTTGTTCCCAACTGAAGTCATGGAACTTTATTATTTGTGAGTTTAACAAAGTATGACAAATGGCATCAGTAACAGATGTGATATGAATTTCTATAAAGTTGTCTCACATTCTTGGTCATATTTTATATACAGTATGTAATGAGTATAACATGTCCAGTAAGTATAAAGTGTTTCCTAATACTGTGTATTCAACCACTATGGAATATGTATGTGGGCAGACAAGATTCAGACACAGTTGTTCTGTGTGTGAAGTAACCTCAAGTCACTCCGCAGGCACATTTTGATGCAGACCAGTTTGTCAAGACAAAAAAGGGCAAGACTAGGCTGAGAGCAGAGGCTATACCCACCATCTTCGTGCATCGCCCTGTGGTCAAAAAGAGAAGGGCCCCTGCACCACGATTCACCCCGGGACCTGTATCTACAAAGCCCATAGCTCATGATCACAGCTATAGTGTGAAAGGTGACACACGTATAATAAGTATGAACTCTTAGTAACAAAAGTAATATTTGTTATTTTTAAGTGGTATAATATTTAAAATGTTCGAAAATGTACAGTGCCATGTCTTCTACTTACATTAGTCTCAAAGATTGAGGGAAGAAGGGATGAGGAGACTGAGAGAAAGGAAAGTGAGGGTGAAGAAAGAGAGGACATGGCTAGTGAGGAGAGACAGGGAGGGCGGACACCACCCACTCAGCCAGCAGCCAGTCAGCATACGAGGGAACCAGCAGCCAGTCAGCATACGAGGGAACCAGCAGCCAGTCAGCATACGAGGGAACCAGCAGCAAGTCAGCATACGAGGGAACCAGCAGCCAGTCAGCATACGAGGGAACCAGCAGCCAGTCAGCATACGAGGGAACCAGCAGCCAGTCAGCATACGAGGGAACCAGCAGCCAGTCAGCATACGAGGGAACCAGCAGCCAGTCTGCATACGAGGGAACCAGCAGCCAGTCTGCATACGAGGGAACCAGCAGCCAGTCAGCATACGAGGGAACCAGCAGCCAGTCAGCATACGAGGGAACCAGCAGCCAGTCAGCATACGAGAGAACCAGCAGCCAGTCAGCATACGAGGGAACCAGCAGCCAGTCAGCATACGAGGGAACCAGCAGCCAGTCAGCATACGAGGGAACCAGCAGCCAGTCAGCATACGAGGGAACTAGCAGCCAGTCAGCATACGAGGGAACCAGCAGCCAGTCAAACAGATCTATTACAACAATTAAAGAGAAAATTAAAGAGCCAAGAAGGAATCACCAAAAAAGCAAAGGCTGCACTAAGAAAAATCAGGAAGGAAAATGCAGCTCTCAAGAAAACAATGAAAATTAGGGACAAGAAATATAAGAAAACGTTTTCAAAAGACCAACTGAAGGCATTAGGCAGACTCACCACAAAGGGGGTGAAATGGAGCATGTACCTGAAAGTTAGGGTTGGCAAAATGGAGTAAGAGAGGGACTTGAAAAACCTTGGTGGCTCTCTACTCATGTTGTTACAGTTGTCTTGGTTACAGCTCTCAAGTTTTTTTTTTTGTTGCCATTTCCACATCTTTAGAAAATATGAAATAAAAAATTGAAGTGAAATCAACCTCTTCTCTGGAGAACAAACTTTGATTTCTCTGTCTTGTGAGTTTGCAGTCTTGCAGTTTTGCTCCTCCACCTGTAACATCACTGCCCCTCCACCTGCCATACAGTAGGTTACTAACAAGATTACTTATATAATACAGTGATATAATACATGTTTAGTATGCTTACTTATATAAAACAGTAGTATTAAACTTACCTTGTGTTTTCACTCTCACTTAAGTCCCTCTCCCTTTGCCATCAATCCAAAATCAGCTGAGCTGCAACATTATACAGACAGGTAATAATCAACATAATCACAAGGACACAATATGGCTCTGCTAAAAACACTCACTCTTACACGCACCAAAGTTATATTTATCTAATATTTAACTCCCTCCACCCCCGCATACAATCCCGTTTAGAAGCCCCTCTTCTCTAATTCAACAACGTTGGATGAAATTACGTTAAGAGAACGGAATTTACAATTAAAAGGCTGTTCAACGTCTGTTGCTAACTTGCTTCGGTATCCTAGCTTAATCTGTTATCTGTAAACGTTCCCTAAATCTACTAATTTAGGGATAATCCACTGACATCCTTTAATACACATGTTAATTTGAATCAGATGTACTGATAATATCCGCAATATAAATCTTTAAACTTCTTCTTACCTTTAAAAGTCCGTCACGAACGGTCTATTATGCTGCAACTCTACAGCTCTGCTAGCCTTGGCGCTAACTTCCGGGGAACGATTGAGAGGCTCCACGATCCGCCATTGCTGTAAAAAAGTGGTCCATTGGAGTGAACGGAGATGTCGTAACTCTTCTATTATATGGCTCTGGTTGTACCTAATAAACTGGCAACTGAATATATATTTACAGTATAATCTCTCCCTACTACACATACAAACAAATATGGGGAACACTAGAGATTATTTTGTATTGAACACTGATGCTGCAGGAAAGAAAGCCCTCTCTTGATTGTGTATTTTATTGAATTACGTGAGCCCATTTTTTACACTGTAACCTAGAGCTTAATTTCAAATAAATCCTAAAGTAGAATATTCAACACTTCTGAAGTGTTGAAGTAAAGGGAGATTATGTTCAACATGTCCATTGTGTACCTTACAATAATTACAATTCTTATGGCAATATTCAAATATTGGAACTAGAACCTGAATGGGATGTGAGCAACACAAGAGATAATGTTTGATTAACAACACCTCAGTGACAGAATCAAGCTTTGATGACTCCAGGACAGTTCATACTTTTTCAAACTAAATCTATAATTTCTTATAATTTTTTCACTATAAAAATTCAAATAATTGTCTCCCTGCGATAGAGCTCCTGAAACAATGTAACAAGATAAACTATATTTGTTGATGATCTGTCACATACATTCAAAACAGTTATTATGCTGACTTACATGCCACAGCCTCAGAAACGTGGAGTCATCTTCATGCAGATATGCAGGCAGAGCACGGAGGACAGCAGCACGGAGGACATGGACGTCACCTTGCTCCTTGAGTGTGAGAACATCTTTGTTTTACTTTGGATGCCAAACAGTATAACCACACAACAATTGATATCACAAGAAAGGGCTCTTCCATGACTGAAGAGATTACCATTTTGACAAAGATAATCCACTCTAGTATGAGAATAAAACACCAAGAGGCATAACCGACTCACCTGGAGGTCATAGGAGGCGAATAGCTGATTCAGAACTTCAGCTTCCTTTCCTTTGCTTGCCGCCTTCTTCCTGAACAGGCTCTGAAGAATAGATATCTGCCAAAATATAAAATGACTATTTAATTCACAGTACAATGTAGACTGAAGGCAGCAGAGATAAACAGAAACATAACATGCTAAATCTGAGTAAACAAGTTATCAGTGACAAAGGCACACAAAATAATTATATAGCTGTAATAAATAAAATATTTTCACCTGTGACTCCATTTTCAAGGCAGGCCAGCGTTCCAGGATCTCTCCAACAGGTAGCTCATCATTGATGATCTCATTGCGCCGCAGGGCAAAGGTAGTCTGCATTAACTTTTAAATCAAGGGAATAATAATGTTATAATATTCAAGTAACTCTGCCCTTGTATCAAAGACAGCAGCACAATGTTTGCATCTCCAAGCCATTGGAAAACGTAACAATATTCACAGGCACCAACACAAATCTAACATAATTTCAGTGTTGCACACTAAATATTCATTCACATTTTAGTAACCATGTGGAATAAACATGGACGCGGGAAGGGGCTGCAGCACCCCCAAACGCGGCGCACCTACAGTGTAACAGCCCCTACAAACGGCGGCGTGCGTTGACGCTTGCCGGCGGGCATGTCTGAAGCTAGACCAACAACCAATCACATGAAAGCTACGCTTTGCTCCCACAATGCAGTTCGGCTAAGCGTGACGTCACCCCATTCAAAATGAATGGGCAGAAGCGTCAAAGCACGCCGCCGTGTGTAGGGGCCGTAACTTCACTCCATTCACTTTGAATGGAGTGACTTCACGCTTTGCCAAACTGCATTGTGACAATCAAATCATATGCCAGTACAAGCTCTAGCCAATCAAACCGCGTGCTTGTGTGTCCGGGGCGGGATACTCATGTGATTGGTTGTTGGTCGAGCTTCCATAAGCATGCCACAGTTGCGCCGCTGCGAGGCTCCACTTGCACCCCCCCCCCCCCCCCCCCCCCAGCGCGTCACAGTTTCTCCACTGTGAGGTTTACCAGATTGAAGAAGCCATATATCTGCCAGTTGCTTCTTCTTGCCATATATCTTGCCAGTTTCCTTAAGGGAAAAAACATTGAAGGTTAGCTGGGTTGCAAAGTTTTCACAGAATGAGAAACACTATTTTCTAACCTAAAATGGCGGCAGGCGGCGCGCTTTTCTTCTTCTTTTTTGTTACAGCATGCATGTCTGTGCATGTTTTATTAACTTAGAGGCATATAGGATTTACGTTCATTTTATCCACTAACGTTGTACCATAACCGTGCGTTCTGCATGTTTGTAAAAGCAAGCTAACTTGAAACACTAGACTATTAATCTGTTAAATCCGGCAGCCCCCGGTACCGAGGGCTTCTTGTTCACGAAACTTTGTCTCAGGGCTTCTTAACATTTAAAAACCTATTAAATGTGTCATACCCACTTAACGAAACTCAGTTAACTGACGATACGAACCATTTTTACCGAAACAAAACACAAGTCTCACAAGAAGCGTCTAAATTAGCGCACAGAACTCACGGTAGAAATACTTTATTATGGGCTACTTATCGTAACTGCACATACAAGATATCAGATTAAAGCTGAGATTCCACAGATTCTAGAAGTATTAGTATCATCACTGCACGATCATTACAATAGAGTCTGTATGCAGACCACAGCAAGGAGGCGGATCCTAAAGGGGGTGGATCCTATAGGGGGGGGGGCGTTTCCTAAAGGGTTATGAGCCCCGCCCCCACGTATTTCTTAAAGGTATATGACGCTCTGTTTCTCATTTATTTTAATGCTTTGAATGAATCATAAACGAACTTTGAAAAATAATAATTATAATTAATTTGCATAAAGAATGAAGAGTATACAACCCACAGAGAAGACAAATTAATTGACCTATTGACAGATCATAATGAATACAGAGTCAATTTGATAGTTTATCATAACATAGGATACATTAAACCAGAGGTGCCCAGTACGTCGACCGCGGGCGACCGGTCGACCGCGGGGGCAATGCTGGTAGATCGCGAGTCATTCATAAAAAAAAAAATCCTGTTCCGTTAAAATAGACAAAACAGGTTTTGATCCCTCCTCCCTTGGCCTCCCTGCCACTTAATTCAGGAGTTTACTTGATTGACAGAAAAAGCGACCTATCGCTTTCCAGTCTGTTAACCCAGAATGCAAAGCGATACAAAATCAGTCAAGTGCCGGGAAAACTCAAATTAAGTTCAAGAGACAAACAAGAGACAAACAACAAAATGAGTGCGGGACCGAGCAAGAAGCTAAAGACAAACCACTTCCACCCAGAATGGGAGGAAGAATGTTTGTTTGTGATGTCACATTCAAAGGTTATTTGCCTTATTTGTAAAGCAAGCGTCGCTCTGCCAAAGAAAGGTAACGTGGAGAGGCATTATCGGAGTGTTCACAAGGCATATGACAGCGACTTCCCTCCGAGTAGCGAGTTGAGAAAGAGAAAGGTCTGTATTATTGCTACACAAACATTATCTCGCAATCTTAGTGTCGCCAACTCGTTTTCTAATATGCACAAAGACAAACAAATGTCGGTGTATTTTCGATCTTTCCAATCGAGACGAGATCTCTCTCCCCCGTCTGTGCGCGAGGGGGCGGGGCAGTTTACACACACGCGGCTGCTACAAGCAGCAACACACGGAGGAGATGGCGGAGAGAAGCGCTCCAAGGTGTGGTTAAATGTTACCCGTCTTGAGGTGGACAATGCTCCTTGCCAAGAGAGTTCAGCATGTGAGGGCGGTAACACGAGCAATGTGTCTAAACATTTAGCAAAAGTGCACCACATTCAGACGGAGGAATGCACCGGGTTCGACTGTCTTTCTAGCAGCTCTGCAGCCCCATCCAGAGTAACGTTTCCACGTCAGGTGTTATGCAGGGTTTCCCACACATAGACTATACTTGGGCGGGCCGCCCAGGTATATTAACGGCCGCCCAAGTATATTTCGCGACCCATTTCGTTTTTTTTTTTTTTTTTTTATAAAATTTTTTTTAAATATTTTTTTTTTTTATTCGTCCGTGACCACGACGCCATCTGCGATCGACTAACTTGTAGACAATGATCCCTCGCTCCCTTGCTCTGATCTCGCCTCCTTCTGGCCTGTTAAGTGGCCTGCCTCACACAGGGTGACTGGCTGTCCACATGATGTGGCCTGCCGACATGGCCACTGTCATACAGATCATAAATCAAAGCCCTTGATTGGTCTCTGTGTGTCATTCAAGCTCGGGATAACCTCAGCTCAGGTGAGGTAAAGCACTCTCTGAGTGTTTAGATAGTTAACTTAGTCTAAGTTCTCAGTGGGTCTCAAACGGTGTGGTCACCATTTATGTAAACACATATTTCCATTTGAGAGGGTAGTGATTGGTCTAATGGATAGTGAGGTGGGCTGAAGATCGGAAGGCTGTGAGTTCAAATCCCGCCAGGAACACCACCACTAGTGTGCCCTTGAGTAAGGCACTTAGCCCTGAGTTACTCCAGGGAGAATGTCCCTGTAATCGGTCATTATAAGTCGCTTTGGATAAAAGCGTCAGCTAAATGAAATGTAATGTGATTAGTAAAATATGCATGAATAAATAAATAAAAAGTTAACTAGGTGAAAAAAGGTAAGATACACTTTTAAAACTTGTTGAGAGAAAACTAGTCTTTGCTGCTGCCTCAAAGAGGAGGGGGGAGAGGAGGGAGAGGGGGGAGAGGAGGGAGACAGGAGAGGCTGATTCAGGAGCTCAGACACACTCCCAACTATAAATTAACCAAAACTAAATTAATAAACAAGTTTCAGTGTTTTTTTCATATTGGAAATGGTATGTTGTTGGTTATGGCCTTGATTTTATGATTATTGAAATGTATACAGTTCTGTTAAATATAGGTGTTTCCATAGATCTAGTCTCTTTATTTTCCCCTCAAAATGCACCAGATTGATGCATTTAACTCCAAAATAAAAAATAAAATCTTACTGGGGGGGCATGCCCCTGGACCCCCCTAGAGGATTTGAGGTCGACCCCCACTAAAAATCACATGGATAGGTTCCTAAATACATTAATAAATACATTTATTTGTTTAAATAGTAACCCATTTCCATATGTTCATGTGTGGGTAGTAGATTTAAACTATAGGGCTATCATTATGGACCCTGCCTGTACCTGTACCTGTTCGCTCTGCCATCGCGTGAAGGGTCTGCTAACAAGCGACCAACAGAAAGGTTAATGTTGTTGCACGTCACCTCAACCCCCCCCCCGCTACCACCACCCCCCAAAGTATATTTCAGATCTGTGGGAAACACTGGCAGTTAATGGACCAGCACCAGAGGCGTTCCCATACACACAGGCGTTGGAGCTGTTCTTCATGAAATCCCAGAAGGATGAAGTGCTCTGACAAACAGTGCCATCTTTGCGCAAAATGATTATACCGGAATGAAAAGTCAATAAATAATGTTGTTAAAACTTTTTTTTTTTTTTCGCGCCCCCCCCCCCCCCTTGCCACCACCCGCCCAAGTATATTTCATATCTGTGGGAAACACTGTTATGTATAATAATTAATAATTCCTTACATTTATTATAGCGCTTTATCAATGACTCAAAGCGCTTTACATATACACACATTACACATATATGATACATGCAATGGTCAGATGCTAGCAGCAACACATGCAGTTAACACCATGATACAAACACGGGTTAATGATGAGAGGAAACTGAGTTACTCTTTATTTTGTTAAAGTTTCAGCTATTCTGTTCACAGTTCTGTCATCACATTATTTAATACGATTTGTTAAAACATTGTTGTTTCTTTTGATGTGAAATATTATTTCTTTAATTTAAATAAAAAGCAATGTTAGTTTTGTTCACAATTTGTTAATTTAATAATATATGTATTTTTGAATCAAGTATTCATCTTTATTGTCTTCATTGTTAGTTTCCACATGCCTAAAACAACCTCAAGCTAAATCTAAAAGTTGATGGCTAAATAAGAGCGTTTGAGAAATTGTGCAAGGCATACAGTAATAGTCTGAATAGTCGATTAGTCGTTTCATTAATCAATAGATTCATCGATTATCAAATGAGTCGTTTGTTGCAGCCCTATTATCCCATGTATAAATAAAACGTGTTATTCAGCAACCCTTGCAATTTGGGACTTTATTTTTGGTTGGTAGACCTCGGTGAGCTGGTCATTTCAAAAGTAGCTCACCAGCCCAAAAAGTGTGGGCACCCCTGCATTAAACTCGTAAATTGTAGGCATATCATTTTTTACTGTTTGTGCAGTGGTAGTAATTATTATTCAAATCAATCAACTACGTTTTA